TACTTTCATCACCGACGTTTGGGCACCATCATCGTCATCGGCGTGATCAGCATCGGCGCCGCCAACAGCATGGACACCATCATCGTCACCGTCGTCACCAGCATTGCTAATGTCATCATCGTGTCTGCAGTTGTTGGCGTCACCATGTTACCGCGCCTGCCCGGGTAACTGATTCGCACTGAAGTGCCCGAGCGTCAGCGCTTTCTGCGAGACTCGCTTGGAAGCCCCCAGCGGTCAGCGCCAACGCGGCGGTGTCGGTCGCGCCAGTCTAGCTGGCCGCTTTGCCCGCGAGCCTGCGCGCGAGCCTGCGCGCGCTAGCGCGGCCGCAGCGATGCGCCAGCCATTGCCTCGCAGTCATCGCAATCGCCGCCGCATGGGCTTGGCAAGCCGCGTTGCGGGTGGGTGGGTGGGCTGTTGGCGCGAGCAGTGGAGTTGTCAATTGCACGGTTGCCAGGGTGTTTGCGCCTCATCGCGTGCACCACATATTGCACACTATAGATTAAAACCGTACTTTGGGCCACATGGAATGCTCCACGCAAATTGGGCAACATGTGCTGCACCACATACGTGGCGCCACGTGCACTGCACACCATATTATCTGGGCAACTTGTATTCTCCTTTCTAAAAACAGAATAGGATCTACCCCCCCCGGAGTTATCACTCCCCCTTTCGGGTATGTAATCTACATATGATTTTGACCACATGTCCATCCTAAATATGAGATCGCAATGTCAAATGCCAACGGGTCTCCCCCCTGAGGTTCCCTTGTAAAAACAAAGCACTATGCGGTGACATTTTTTGTTCTAAAATAACACTTTTTCACGAATCCCTTGCAACAAATGGAACGAATTGCACACGCGCGCGTTTTCGCGCGCGCATGCCAAAAACCTTCAAACACCTTCGGTGCCGGAAGGATTTCGCAATCGAGTTTCCAAACAACATACAGAAACACAGGGTTTCGCAACACTGATTTGCTAAAAGCGCTTCCGCGCGAGCTCTTGCGAAATCTTGAGAGAACCGTAGGTTTCCCAAGATTTCCACAACATGCTATCAAACGGGCTTCGCGCGCACGCATGCCGAAATCTGTCGAACGCCCTTGCGCGTGTGCCGTCGCGAGAATCCTCTGCAAAAAATGAGACGAAGTGCAGACGCGCGCGTCGTCGCGGGCGTATGCCGAAAATCTTTAAAACCCATCGGGTTCGGAAGGATTTCAAAATCGCGCGTCGAAAAAACCTACAACAACCCAAGGTTTCGCAACACGGATTTTCAACAAAAGCGTGCGCGCGCGCTCTTGCGTCGTCGTCGTCGTCGTCGTCGCCGTCCTCCCTCCTCCCGCGTCGTCGTCGTCGTCGTCGCCTACGTCGTCCTCTGTCTTTCCTCGTGTTCGTCGTCGTCGTCCTCTTTGGCGTCGTGGTCGTTTCCGTCGTCGTTGTCGCCGTGGTCGTCCTTCCTCCTCCTCCCTCGTCGTCGTCGTCGTCCGTCGTCGGCATCTTGTCGTCGTCCCTCCTATTTCGTCGCCGTCGTCGTCGTTGTCGTCGTCCTCTTCCCTCCTCCCTCGTCGTTGTCGTCGTCGGCGTCGCCGTCCTTCCTCCTTCTTCGTCGTTCGCGTCGTCGCCGTCCTCCCTCCTCCCTCGTCGTTGCCGTCGTTGTCGTCGTTGTCGCCGTCGTCGTCCTTCCTCCTCCTTCGTCGTCGCCTTCGTTGGCGTCGTCGTCGTCGTCTTCGTCGTCGTCGGCGTCGTTGTCGTCGTCGAAGTCGTCGGAGATGTCGTCGGTGTCGTCGTAGTCGTTGTCGTCGGTGTCGTCGTAGTCGGTCTTAAGAGGTTTTGCAAACCAAGTTGCGGGTGGGTGGGTGGGACGTTTGCGCGAGCAGTGGAGATGACGACTTCAAGTTCAGCAGAGTGCATTTCACAACATAGATGGCACCACGTGTGTGGCACATTATGGATTGCATACAGTTCATTGAACAACATGTACTCTACCACATTGGCTGCGTCACACGTGCTGTGCCACATAGAACGCACCACTTGGAGCACACAGCATAATTTGCGCCATCGATTGCGCAACATTGTCTGCACCAAAGAGATGGCACCACACATATTGTTCCACATACAGTGCGCGGCGTACATGGCACCGGAGAAATTTAGTCACGTACGTTTCACAACCGAGATTGTACCACACATTCTATTATGTATATTGCACAATGTTTGTGGAACGACGTATAGTGCACATCATGTCTTACACCAGTCTGAGTATTGCACATACGCTGTGCCAGCTAGATCGCACTACATGGGGTGGACACCAGCAATTTGAGATCATATGTTGCACACCGTAGGTTGCACCACACAGATCGCACCACATCCTCGCACCACACATTGTACAGCTGACATCATATATTGTACGTATTGTACGTCGTAAATTGCACCATTGCTCTTGCGCGACAAAGATTGCACATCCGATTGCGCACCACATAAAGCCCACACCACAGATCGCGCCACATATGGGCTGCACCAAGCGTCCCGCACCTGTTGTACACCATGTGTTGCACCACATATGTTGCACCACGTCGGCTGCACATTTTCGGTTGCACAATATGTATTGCAACGCGCGTGTTGCACCACAGTGGTTGGTTCACATGAGTTACACCACGAAGATGGTACCAGCTACGGTTCACAACATCGACTGCGCACCATTTGTTGGAAAACATACCTTGCACCTCGCAGATGGCATCACTTGCCCCAGAGAGACCCACGACGTGCAAGTCGTAAAGTACATCATAGATCGTACCACCTCAACTGCGCAACATTGGTTGCACACCATCTGCCGCACAACATAACTTCCACCACGTATATTGCACTTGATAGCTTGCCCCACATAGGGTGCACAACATCTGTTGCTAGAAATACATCGGTTGAAGGCCACGCTCGCTAACTTTGACAATCGCCCCCCATCCATACATGTTTGGTGTGATTTTCCGGAACGAATTCGCGCGGCGGTGAGGTAAGGGTCTCGTGCTGAGAACGACACGCCGTCCATCTTGCCCTGGTTGCAAACGTTGCAGACCGATGTGCGCGGCGCTATCGCGAGAAGCGCCTGCCGAAAACCACCTGCGCTCCATCCTTGAAGTTGTTGCAACCTTCTAAGACGAATGTGCATGGCGCGAAGGCGGGAGCCATATTTTGAAAACGACACGTCCTCCATTCTTTACAACTGCTGCAAATTCCGAGTTTCATGATCACTGTTGGTGGTAACGTCTCAGGCGAAACGCTCGGCCCGCCCTGCAGACACGTCTAGGGGTGAGGCAGGGACGAATGATGTAAGAGGAAGCAGGGATGGAGGAGGAGGACGAGGAGGAACATGATCAACAAGTGTCTTCAGGTCCTGCCTGTACCGTGTAGAAGGGACCTGTCAAAGCCTTCTGTGGCCTTCACCCCACAAGGTCACTTGGTCGGGTGTAGACCCTCCCGCAGACATCATCTCATCTCGTCGCGCAGATGAAGCACCAACCACCACGCGCTTGCCCCGCATGTGCGCGTGGCTGAATCACCGGCTACCACGTGCCCCTCTCGCAGCGCCAGGTGCTGCCACTGTTCTCCTTCTAGCATGAGTTGACACTGGCGTTGTAGCCGATGCTCCCCTGCTGCGTCCCACTCACAGTGCAAGTTGCTGCCACTGCGCGCCTTCTCGCAGTAGCTGGTCCAAGCGTTGAGATTGATGACCCGCTCACTGCGTATTCCGAACTTGAGCCTCATAGGAACGGCCGCGTTTACTACCACCAGCTCCTGCGCCTCCGCCGTCCGCCTTGTCGAGCAGAGTCCAGCGTGGCGGCGACCCACCTAGCCTCTCGCAGTGCCTGCCTCGGCTGCTATTGCCTGCCTTGTCGCACGCATTGATCCCAGTTTTGTAGCTGGTAACGTGTTGCTCCTGCTCTGCAGTGGTACCCTGGCCAGTGCTGACACCGCCGCCACTGGACCCCTTCTCGCACGAGCCGCCCCCAGCGTTGTGGCTGATCGCGTGCCGCTCCTACACTTTCGCTGCCTTCTCGCTTGAGCTGCCTCCAACATTCCAGCAGATGACGTGCTGATCCTGCTCTGCCGTGTGGCGCCGACCTCGGTTGCTGCCCCCGCCACCGCGCGCCTTCTCGCACGAGCTGGCCCCAGCGTAGCTGATCACGTGCCACTCCTGTGTTCTCGCACGAACAGCCCCGGACGTTGTTTATTAGATGACGCGTTGCTCCTGCTCTCGCCGCTGCACACCTGCTCGCACGAGCCGCTCCCAGCGTTGTAGCTGATCGCATGCCGCCCTTGCACTCGCGCTGCCTTCTCTCACAAGCTGCCCCCCAGCATGATAACTTTGCCGTGCTGTTCCTGCTCTGCCGCGGCGCGCTGGCCACAGCAGCCACTTGCACACCTGGTCGCGCGCGCCGCCCCCCGCGTCGTAGCTGATCGCGTGCTGCTCCTGCACTTTTGTTGCCTTCTCGCAAACTCCACTGCCACTACCTGCCTTAGAGCAGGGCGCGCTGCCACTGCCTGCTCCTTGCCTTCTCAGTCGAGCTGGCTGTCGCTGCACCTGGGGAGCTGATGATGTACGGATCGGGCGCCAGCTCGTTCTGACAGGTCAGGTTGCCGTTCCTGTTCTCTTTCTCTGTTGGCTGCGCCCTCCGCCTGTCGCGGTGCCATCCCCATCCCCAGTGTTGTTCAATCTCCTCACTGTAGCAGGAGACGTTTGGCCCTACTATTCTTTACGGCTCGAGGCGGCATGGCCATTCCTAATTCTGCTGTCTCAGCCCAGGGTCCCCCTGTCCCGAGAGGAATTGCTAGGAGAAAGAGGAGGGGGCGGACGGGCAGGAGGAGGAGGACGAGGCAGGAGGAGGAGGAGGAGGAGGAGGAGGCAGGAGGAGGAGGAGGAGGAGGAGGAGGAGGAGGAGGAGGAGGAGGCAGGAGGAGGAGGAGGAGGCAGGAGGAGACAGGAGGAGGAGGAGGACACCTCCCCGCGCGCAGCAGGCGCCAGGCCGCTGCTGCACCGGCAGGGCGCCCTGCTCGGAGGGGACGGCTTCGCCGCGCCCCCGACGCTGCTCGTGGCGTCGAGGCCCCGCGGCGAGCCCTCCGCTGCTCCCAAGGGTCGGGTCGGACGGAGGGGAGGTTCGGAGTTCTGTCTGGGGAGGAAAGGGTTTCGATACTACTACCCTCTCCTCGTTTTCGCCTTCTGGGGCCTCCTGGGAGGCCTTCGTCGCCACGGTTGGATTCGCTCGAGAGCTCTGGTCAGGACGCACCCCGGGAGAGCCCTGGGGAGTAGCGTCATCGGTGCCTCTCCGTACTTCGGAAGGGGGGTCGAGGTCTCTGCGGTTTGGGACATTCTTGTCGGCCCTTGGCGCTTTTCCAGCCTCGGGATGCCGTCCGGCAGATGCGCCTCGCCGAGAGCGTTCTGAATTGCCGCCTCGTGGGCGCTCGTGGCCCCCCCCGTGCGTTGGGTGGGTCGGCCATCTGCCGAGGTTGCGCCACATTGCCGTCCGTCACACCTTGTGGGCTTCCTTGGGCGCCCCGTGCGCTGATCTTACGCCACGTAGCTTGCACCACATACCTAGCACGACACGCCTTGCATTAAAACGCTTGCACCGCATAGTTTACACAACATTGCTTACACCACATACCTGGCACCGCATAGCTTTCACCTCCAGCTCGCACTACACATGTTACACGACATAGCTTGCACCGCCATAGCTCACACCGCATACCTTACATCAATAGCTTGCACCACATGGCCTGCATCACATAGCTTACACCGTATAGCCTCCACCTCCACATTGCAAGGCCTCACTGTTTGGGGCCCACGCTGGCTAAGATTCTCGGCACCTCAAGTACGCAGTGCTCCATTATTGCCGATTGTTGGTGCCATCGCTCCGCCACCCCCCCCACCTCGGTGCTCGCCACTCCTCCGCCCACGCCTTGGTCTGAAACTTGCAGCCTCGCTGCCGGTCTCACCCTCCTACTCGTAGCCACTCGTATTCGCTCTTGCTCTCTTATGTTTTGCCCCACCCCCCTGCTCGTTCTGACAGCAGGCAGGCCAGAGGGTTCTCCACGGGCCCGGTGCTGGTCGAAATCCGCGGAGCCCTTCCCAAAGACACCAACCGCCCAGGGAATTAGACTTAAAGTCAGGCATGTCCCTCTACAAGAGGAGTATGCAAGAACAGGCAAACAAGCCAGGGGACGAGTTTTGTGTTCTCTTGATTAGTTCTGATGTTTGTTCGACTATGTTTTGTTTCTCTTCCGAACTTCGCCTGTGGGAGGACATGCCCGACCTAACATTAGAGGTCTCTCTTCGGAGCCTCGTGGCCACCGCGTGCTTGCAGGCACGGGGCTGCGGCCCCCGCATGAAGGCCTCCAGGGGGAGGTTCACCCACAGGCTTGCCCTGGCTCGAAGTGATCGGGCCTCTCATGTCGACCGCCCGCTTGTGGAAGTGGACGTGCCTCTCTTGCGAGCCTCATCGCCACCACATGCCATTCGGGGCTGCTCTCGGGCCTCCGAAGGGTGGTCGGCCAGGAGGTGTGCAACGAGCTCGTTGCGGTCGAACTTCGTCGAACCTCTCTCAAAGAAGCCACCCGTTTGTGTGAATTCGACGTGTTTGTTGTTCTGAGCCTCCTGGCCACCACGTGACTGCAGGCAACGTGCTGCGGCCCCCGCAGGGAGGTCGACGAAGAGGTGTTCCATGATGGGCCCGTTCCGGTCTGAGGAAGCAAACCTGTTTCCCTCCCTGGCCTCATAGCGACCGCAGGCCAGTAGGCACCGCGCTCAGCCCCCCCGGGTGCTCGGGCCACGTCGGGTTCCCCGCGTCGACCGCTCAGTGGCGGCGCGGGGAAATGACGGGAGGCGTGGAGCGGCAATGTGATATCAGCTGGAGGAGGACCACACGGAACGGCGGGAGGACGAGACGTGAGGGAAGGGGAAGTGGGAGGGAACTGTTCGAGAGACGCCATATCCGGATCGGAGGGAGGCGAGATGAGACAGGGAGTAGATGACAGAGCGTCTTCTGAGGTCTCTCCCTTGTTAGATTCTCCCTGCGCGCCCCCTTCCTTCTTTCTCCCTTCTCCCTGCCCCTCCCTCTCTCGCTTCTCCTCCCCCTTCTTCTCTCCTTTTTTCTCCTCTTTCCCAGGCGCCTGGCGCCATGGTGCATCCAACTCTTAATGACCTACTACCTGCCTTGGGGCCTGCAATGCTCGGAGGTGGATCGACCTCCTACCCTGACACGTCGATTAAGGAATGGGCCGTTTTCGGTTCGCGAGAGGGCGTCGCGGCCGTCATTTTTGCGGGTCTAGGTCCGTCGGTTTCGGTCCCAGGCTGTTTTCACTAAGGGGAGGTTCACTAAAGGGAGGTTTGTCCACCGCCGAAGTGCGACAATTTTGGATCGGCAGTCTCCCTGGTGTTGGAGGCTTGATGTGGAGACGGGGAGACTGATAAGTCATGGAAGGAGGGTGACCTGGGATGAGACATATGCTACGGATCATG